TGCAAAAAAAGAATTCTAAAAGAAAAAGATTTTTAATAGGCAAGTTTGTATGGTTATTAATAGGTGAAGTCTCTGCAACGTTAGATATGAAAAAAAGATGTAAGAAAGTTATAGAGCTTTTTAGGATAGACACCCCATAGATGTACTAGGGATTTACGTCTTATGGGTATGTATGTTTGTATGTTTGGGAGTAGACTAAAAGAAACTGAGAGGGTCTACATAGGTATGACGAATGGGTACACATGGGTATGTATTTGTTTGTGTTGAAAGTTTGCACATGGGTTTGTGTTTGTTTGGATTGAGAATACTCTATAAGATTAAAAAAAATTGAGAGGATCTTATGAATATTAATTGTTGAGTGAAGTTGATATGGTTTGTATGTTTGTAATTCTCTACAACTAATAAATCTTTTTTTCATTCATGGACGTAGGTAAGTTGGATTGAACCGTATTAAATTGTTATCCTTTGTATGATTGATTAATTATTTGACTTTGCTTATGCTGGCTTGATTGATTAGAGGCCATTTGGCCTAACAAGTGATATTAGAACATGGTTCGAGACATGAAAAGAAGCAAGCTTAAAGGAGCTCGATTCAAAGAATAAGTTTAAATTCATGTTTTGAGGATTAATTTGCATGAAATACGAAGACACACAAGAAAAGATAATTGTAAGACTTTCATTACAAGTAGAGCTAAGTATGTCTAGCATGAAGACAGACGATTTGATGAAATTTGAGTCAAGGTAACGATTGTTAGGAATAATGACTCAAATCTCATAAAAGATTTATTTGAAATTTGTTAAATATTACTTGATGAACAAAAAAACTTGCAGAAGAAGAATTCTAAAGAAAAAAAAATCTTAATATGTAAGTTTGACTTACAGAAAAAGAATTCTAAAAGGAAAGAGATTCTTAATAGGTAAGTTTGTATAGTTATTAAAAGGTGAAGTCTCTGCAAGGTTACGTATGAGAAAAAGATGTAACAGAGTTGTAAGATTTTGTGAGATAGATACCCTATAAGAGTACTAAGAATTTACATTTTATGGGTGTGTATGTTTGTATATTTGAGAGTGGACTAAAGGAGACTAAAAGGATCCACATAGGTATTATGAATAGGTATATATGGGTATATGTTTGTTTGTGTTAAAAAGATATACATGGGTTTATGTTTGTTTAGATAGAGAATATTCAATAAAACTAAAGAAAATTAAGAGAGTCTTATGAGTATTGATTATTGAGTGAGGTCTATATGATTTGTATTTTTGTAATTCTCTACAACTAGTAGATCTTTTTCTCATTTATAGACGTAAGTTAGTTAGATCGAACTATGTTAAATCGTTATCTCATATGTGATTGATCAATTGTTTGATTTTGCTTTTGCTGGGTTGATTGATTGGAGGCCATTTGGCCTAACAGGAGCACCTAGCTAATAGAGACTTTGAAGCTTGCATGGAAGTAAGGGAAAAGGCGCTTAGGAACAAAACTTTTATAGGCGACCATATACGTCTGTGAATGTGCTAATTTGGCTCTCCAGGTAGCTAGACCTTACAACAAGAAGAAGATCTAGTAGCAAGAAACATTGATCTAATTCTCCATTCAACAAGATCCGGTAACAAAGTCATCGATTTGACTTTCTAAGTTGCTAGATCGATGAGGCGGTGCCAATTTGGCTCTAGACAGCCAAAGGAACAAGGGGTGCTATCATTTTTTTGTCACCAAAAAATGTTGTTGGCAATTGTTCTAGCAAGCTTTCTTTCTCTTTAGATTGGGATAAGATTGGAATTGAGCAAAATAAATAAAGATAAAATGGTCCATGAATTGTTGGCGAACTAATTATTAAAATAACATGTGCATGAAAGTTGTATTGAACTCTTGTATTGAGAATGTATTCCATTCAGTTAATTGGTGCATGATCTCATATTTCAATTTTTAAATAATAAAATTCAATTAGCTTGTTCTTTGAATAAAAAACAATTGGATTCAAGACCTAAGCTAAATGGGTTACAAGTTATTAGGGATGGCAATGAATAGTAAATAAATGAATATTCATCATTATCCAATTCATTTATGTTAGATTCGAATATTTATAAATAAATAATTAATGAATTCTGTTAAAAGATATATTATCCATGATGGATTTGAAACAAATAGGATAGTATCCCTAGATATCAAATATTCAAATCTATTTAAGTTTTAGTGAATAGTAATAGATATTTGAATCGTATTCGAATAGTTACTCGTTTGCATATGTAAAATATATAAAATTTTTTAATTGTAGAAGGTTTCGGATCTTAAAAAATAACTTTTATTTATTATTAATTAAGAGCGAATTTAAATTTTAAATTAAATTCTTGTGTATTTATATTTTAACAAAAAATTTAAATAACTAGATATTTTAATAAATTCAGATATTTAAACGAATAATATTTATTTAAATGGATTTGGATTTGGATAGTACATGATATTAAAGTTAAATGAATATTTAAATAACTTCAAATATTCTAAATATTAAATGGGTTTAGATATAAATATCTAAAAAATGATGGATATCCACTTTATTATCATTGCTACATGTACTATCTCAATCAATAAGGATATAAACTAATAGAATATTTGATGAATAATTTATGAATATATTTGATTTATATTCATTTATTAAATTTAATAAATGTGCATGAATAATATTTTTAGATTTAGTAATTAAACAAATAGATTATAAACAAATTATATACGTAACAAAATTTTTTTATGTTCATATAAATGTTGCTTTTTTATGTTCATAAATACTACTACCAACCAATGAAAATCACGTCTCAACCTTTGACACTAAAAACCCGTCTACATTAGAAAAAGTTAGATTGCCTTTAAAGATCATCATCCTCCACCACTCATGATGCCGACTCTCCAATCCCCGGCTTAATTGCCGGCTTACCTCTTTTTGGTCCCAAGTTTCGCTCCCATTCATTTTTTTTAAGGATTTAATTTTTAAACACTTACATATATATCACTTTGAAAAGGATGTCCACTTGGATGCATTAATGAGATAGTTTATTAATAGGTGATTAGTGTAATTAATCATCAATTAGAAAAAGACAAAGACGGAATCAAATATCACGTGGCGAATCTAAGTAAGCGTGATTAATAAAGATAATGTTTGGGTAATTAATCATCAACTAGAAAGAGACAAAGACAAGTTTCTTGGGAATCAAACATCACATGGCGAATCCAAGTAAGCGTGATTAATAAAGATAATGATCGGGTAATCCAAGAGCTTGCGCCTTGCCGTTGATTGCGACACTATGCAATAATTATGGGCTTAAAGGAGGAGATTATCAATTTTCCGATTGTAACACAACATTGATTCATGATTTTTTTTTCCTGATCTTCAGTTCTCGAAGTGTCATATATGATCTCTGTGATTACCTTTTTTTGGTTTTCCTCCATTACTTTAATGTTGATCATTTTTCCATATACATCTTTATTTATCATTGTACAATTTTTGAATGGATTGTATATATGTAACGGTGAGGATAAATGCATTGAAACGTAAAGAATTAAATATATATTTACGAATGACTTAAATACTGTTAATCCAAAGAATTGAATGAAACTAAGAGGAGTGAATTGGTTTCTTGAAAGATTCATACAAAAAATTGAAAGGTAATTAGGAGACATTAATAATTCAAGTAATATAAAAAAGGATAAACAAATAAAGCAATTAAAAGAGTATGAAAAGAATCAAATAAATATTTATAAAGGTTTAGTCATTCTTCATAAGACACATACGTCTCCCTTCTTAGCTTTATTTGTCAAACAATTCCTTCCTAATCCTCTCATATCTTTAAATTCTTACAAGTTATTTTTTTAGGTTTAGGTATAATCTTTACAATTTATTTTTTAAGGCCAATGTATAATATCTAAGACCCCACCTTTCAAAGCTAAACTCACTAGCTATTTTTCAAGATTAACGTAGCAATCTTTAATTCCCTACTTTTCAAAGCACACTTAAAGTTTTTATCATTTCAAAACAATGATCAATTTAAAATTAACAAAGACTAATCAAGATTCTCAAACACAAAATCTTAAAATTTGAATCCGATAATAATAATTATTGACAAAAATTGGGCGTGCACTAGATGCAAACCTTTGACAACGCCTAATACAAGTAGCTCATTCATATGCATTCAAAACCAAAGCCATTTTTACACAATGAAGATTCGAACTCAACTATTTTATCATGGAAATACATGCATTTACCGGTAAATCAAATAAAATTAATTTGCTCAGATCAAAACCTTTTAAGTTGGAATACTAAATTTTATCCGTTAGGGTGCTTGCTGTAGTATTGTTTTTGTAATAATAAAAGAAAGTAGCACTGATCTCTATTATCCCTTTCATGCAACTATTGGTTTAATTGCATGTGTGCTAGAATCAATGTATGTAGAGAATTGTTGCTTGAAGATCATATTAATAAGCCTAGGAAGGATTAAACTGTCCCTATTGTGCATCCTTGTATTCATTACAGGCTGTCAAAGAAATTTTCATATTTTTATTACTCGGTAATTGAATGATATAATGTGGTAAGATAAGGTATCATTTTCCGAGAATGATTATATCCTTTATCCCTATGAGAGACTTTAGCAAATTAATTTGTTGGCAAATGGATGGCAATATAGGGCCCAGAAAGACTCCCTGGCTGATTGTAGAAAGAGACAGGCCAATTCTTCTGGGTCCTCACACTTGGAATAGCTTTAGAGAATAATTTTTAAAATAAAACGACAAGAATTACACATTTATATATTTTTTATTTAAAATTATCCAAACTCAACGCATATTAACAACAGTCCACATCTAACAGTTATATTTATATATCAGGTCAAGTCTAAAAGAAAAGAAAAATAATAAAGCAAAAGACAGCCCAACATGCGAGTGAGTAATCTGTAAGCTGTATTTATTATGAATATATACCTCTGTCGTTGAACAGATAAGCTGTCCCTTTTGGTTCTCTTAGTTTCTCCTCAAAAAATTTTTCATTTTTCTATTACTCTGATTTCCTTCTTCAATCTTTGTTTATCTCCCGCTCTCTACCTTTCATTCTCTTTTTCTTCGCCATAATCTATGGGGTCGAGAGCAAGGATGCAAAGGTGGTGCACGCAAACACTAACGCCTTTAATGGAAGGGCCTGACCCTGAAATGCAAGAAGAAGCTGGAAACAAGAAGGAGATCAGCTCTTGGGAAGTGATCCGAGAATGGTTTCGAACACAAAAGGGATTGTCAGCAAATAATTTTTCAATGTCTTTATATGGAAACATTCCTGCCAAGAGACAAGATTTAAGGCTTTTGCTTGGTGTTTTGGGCTGCCCTCTCGCCCCCATTCCGCTCGTCAATCACCCAATTCACCACATTCGGATCAAAGATATACCAATTGTAAGTTTTTTCAGTCATATTCTTTCAATGTTAAATCCATTTTTTAAGTATAAAAGAGGTCAAGCTTCGAGATAGAAGAAGAGTTTTATTTTTATTTTTATTTGAGTACATAGGAATTCGCAGGCAATGGGATATGAATTCTAAACCTATTAAATGTTTATTTCTTACAAATAACTACATAAATTAACTCAGTCAAACTTCGGGTTTCAATTGTATTCTTTTCATATTATGTCTTATTTACCATCCCTGTTCAAGCTCCAAATTCGCATATAGGAAACTTCGACGGCGCATTACATTATACAACAATATTTGGCGGCTTCGGGATGCTTGAAACAGCAGAAATGTGCAAAAAACATGTATGCAACAGGAAGTGTGAAGATGATTCGTTGTGAAACTGAGATTTCGTCAGGCAAGAATGTGAAAAGTTTGGGAACAAGAAGCGGAGAAAATGGTTGCTTTGTCCTTTGGCAAATGATGCCTGGGATGTGGTCTCTTGAGCTGGTTGTTGGAGGCAACATGGTCATTGCTGGTAGCGATGGGAAAACTATCTGGCGACACACATCTTGGCTTGGCACGCATGCAGCCAAGGGACCTCTACGACCTTTGCGTCGCATAATCCAGGTACCTACTTGTTCCTCTCCATTTGTTTGATCAACTTATTTTCTTACTCGGTCATTTTTTAAACAAAAAACTAAAAATGATAATAATTAATCATTGTCAATTAAAAATTCATTAAATAGTTTTAGATTTTTTTTCTTGATTTGTAAACTATTCTTCTAACATTAAATTTCACACTAATCTATTAAGTCAAATAATCAATATAGTTTAAAATTAAATACCAACAACTAAGACCAAATATAAGCATAGATATTTTTATGAGATTTTTTTAGATAATCAATTAATCATGTAATATTTATCATAACCTACTGCTAATTGAGTTGAAAGTTAAAAAAAATTATATCTACTTTATTATCAATGTGTAAATATTATATACTATAATTACATCATAAATAATTACTTTTTTAATTTATTTTCACATAATTAAATATTTAAAATTAAAATATTTGTGTTTAAAATTTTTAAAATTATTAATAAATAATATGAAAATTTATGATATATAATAATATTTATACATTAATAATACATTAAATATAAACTAAAAAAACCCATAAGCTTCAAAACGGAAATTGAATAGCATGGAAGCAAAACCTAGGTTGGGTAGCATTAAATTTAAAAAATTTGTTTACCAAACAATGACAACGATGGAAGAACATGATGACAATCCCAAGGAAATGCAATGGAACTGAGAATGATGGAGAAACTGTCTCATGCTTTAGCAGACACAAATTCTTTTCATTTCTTTTCATTTCTTTTGAACACTATCTGAGTTAGGGCAATGACGAATGGCACATGAATTGTCTTATTTGTTCACATGATGTGTGATCAGGTACACATCCAATAATGCCGATCCTCTTCCTGGGATTGCCAACTTACACTTTTGCTTTAACTTTTCCTTCTTTTTTTTTGTTCTTTAGTGAATATATAGTGCTGGATGTAGTGCATTATTAGCTAGCTCCTTACTTTTTTAGCTTTTCCCCCGTCCTTTATTTATTTGCTGCCTATTACCAAATCATGCACTTTTTCTTTTTCTTTTTTACAATTTTCTAATTTTTTTCTTCTTTAAATATGAGATAACTCCAAGTTCATACTAACAAGGTTATCATGCTCCTCTAGCCTATGTCAGTGTAGGCCAATCATATTATTTTGTTTTTATCTCTCAAAGATAAATATTAATAAACTTTTTATAAATGTTATTCGTTATCAATTAAATGGTTACATTTTAAGTTTTTTTGTCAAACTTTATAAAATTTAACTTTCTATTATTTTTTATTTATTATTAATAAAAATATAAAAATATATTTTAAAAACTTTGAATAAAGTAGTTTATGAATATATGTCTTTTAAAATTGAATTGACTAAAATATTTAAATTAATAACCCTATCAAATTGATTAAAAAAACAATTTAATTGAAAAAAAGAAAATATTTCATAAAAAAGAAATATTTGAACTTTTTACAATTATACCATCCTAATTAAAAGGGGGGAAAAGGTTCTTTTGGATTTTAAGGATAAATAAACAGAAAACCATTTATCTCATGCATCATCAAGTTTTTACATTTCACAAATAAAATAAAAAAACTATCACATTCCTTTATGTTACATTAATATATATAACAAATTTTTAACATCATTCAATACAATAGATAGATTTGTTATATTTAATATAGTATATGTTAATAAGCCCATCTTGTATGACAAAGCAAATATTAAGAATTGATTTTTCAAACATAAAATCCATTATTAAAAGTAATAAGAATCTAGAATAATTGTCTTAATTAATTGATATAAAGACTTTTATAATCACATGATTATTTTGTAAAATTTTGTTTGTGATTAATTCAGAATCCAAAGATACACCAACTTATTGCAATAGCTCAATGCTTGGAAGAAAACGAATAGGCGACGTAGACTGCTTCTATTCTAAAAGTATGCGCGACGAGCTGTGATGGAATCGAAAAGAAGGGCAAAGTTGATTAGGCATGTATTGTACGGGTACTTTTTTGCCAAAGATGGTGCTACTTGATATACTTGGAGGACTCTCATCTGACCAGGGTTCAAACACAAAAAAATTTCTCTGTCTACTGGGAAACTACCATTGGAAGTAGCGTTGGAGACTATAGGGATATCGATGGAGTGTTGATTGCTCATCAAGGAAGATCAATCGCCACGATTTTTCGATTTGGAGAGCTATCCCTGCAGCACAGCAGGACTCGGATGGAAGAAATTTGGAGGATTGATGATGTTGTTTTCAATGTTCCAGGGCTCTCCCTGGACTCTTTCATTCCTCCTGCTGATATCTTTGATGATAATCTTCATTCCCCTTCACTGTAACTAACATTAAGAAGTGTTGATTATATATTGTTCTAATTTGAAGAAAATATAATATTGGTGGGGAGGGTTGATTGTTTATCTTGATCTTAATTTCAAGTGTAGTTTTTAGTTCGTTTTCCAAGTCATTAAGCTCATAAAAGATGAAAATTTAAGGGTTGGAGTAGAATAATAAGGAATTTTGTTTAATTTTCGATTTTTTCTCTCCTTTTTGGATGTAATGTTTTAAACCCCTACGGAAGTGTATTTATATACTCTTGAAAGGGCATGCGCCAGGGGATGGAACTTTTTTCTGCCTTTTTTTCTCTATGCTTCTATTTATGTCGTAATTGGTAGAAATAGTAGAAAGGCTTAAATATTAAAAAAACGTCATGAATTATTTTTTAAAAATAAATTTTTATATTTTTATTGTACTTCAATAAACCCTTATTTTTTTTTTTGTCTAAATAAACTTTTATTTAAAATGAAAGATTAACTTATTGTTGATGGTGTTTTTTGGTGTTAGTTGAAAGGGAGTGGTCTTGTAGCTGAGTGAGGGGAAGCTCAAATCTGCAGCAATAAAGCGCAGTAAAGGGGTGCCGGAGTCGGTTCTCAAAGATGTGTTTTGACACTCAAGTTAATAAAGTATTTAAAGGATTAGTAAGGAAGAAGGTATACAATAAACACTAAGGAAGCTTCAAGAGGAAGAATACTTAGTTCATACGTTAGGAAAATGGGGTCCAACCCCATGTAATTAGTTTTGGACCAATCAAAGGCTATAGGCCTTTGTCTTTTTATTTTACACAGAGCCCTAACTACTTAATAAAAAGAGGATGGGTTGTTTTAAAGTGGTGTCACAAACCAAGAAGAGAAAGAATAAAAGTCAAAAAAAATAGAGAGAAAGAAGAAAAGGGTGAGTTTGTTGAACAAAGTCGATTCATGTTCTGATTGAGCTAAAACTTTGTCAGTAAGTTTATGATTCAGAGTTTTACATTCTGAACGGTGAAGATCGTGTTTGAAGCTCTCTAAAAATAAATTCAGAATATATTTGTTGAGTCATTTATTTGGTAAGATTTCTCTAATTGTCTCTCTAATTGTTGATTAGCTCTAGTTTTGCTAAAGAAGAACTTTGTATATCCATTATTTGATAGTAAAAAAATTTTTGGTAATCTATGATTTTTTTTCTCTACACTGGAGGGTTTTTCACGTAAATCTTAGTATACTTTATTTTTTTGCGTTATTGATTGTTAATTGTTGTTTATTACTGTGAGTTTATTACGATATATTACTTCTGCATTGTTATGTTTATTACTTCAGGCCCAATAAATGGTATAAGAGCTAGGGTTATTTTGAGACAACGATACAAAAGTAACCCAAGGCAGAAGTAAATTCTGTTTAAGATCATAAAAAGTGATATAGTATCTATGATAAAATTGACAGTATCAAATTATTCAATTTAAAAACCTATGATAGAAGATCATTTATACTACAAAGATTTGTATGAGCTGGTATTAGATAATTCGATTAAACCAGTAGATATGAAAGAAGAAAGCTAGAAGAAGTTAGGCAGAAAGATGCTAGCTATAATAAAAAAATAGGTTGATATCAACGTATTCCATCATGTAGCACAGGAGCTAGATGCCCATATTATTTAAAAAATTAACAGCATTATATGAGAGAAAAATAGGTATGAATAAAGTTATACTTGTTAAAAAGCTTGTAACTTTACAGTACTGGGATGGATGATCAATTACAAAACACTTGAGTGATTTTCAAGATATATTTAATTGGATAACTATTATAGAGATTAAGATGGATGATGAAATGAAGGCGTTGTTTCTTTTGAGTTCATTGCCAAACAGTTGGAATACCCTAGTTGTGAATTTTCTTAATTCAGCTCTTAATTACAAAATGACATTGGAGATGGTAAAGGATAATATGCTTAATAAAAAAGCAAGGTGAAAAGAAGCAGACCCTAAGAATCAAGCTTTAGTCATAAAGAATAAAGGTAGAAACATCGATAGAGGTTAGAACTCAAAAGGTCATAGTAAATCTAAACATAGATCCAAGTCTAAAGATAAAGTGAAGTATTTTCATTATGGTAAAACAAGTAATATAAAATGACACTGTAAAATCTTGAAGCAAGAGCGAAAAGATGAGAAAGACAAGAGTTTAGATTATGACAATACTGCAATAGTGAATTTAGATAGTAATTCAGTTACTTTGATTTATACACATGGTGATTGCAATCATGTTGGTATTCCTGATATTGAGTGGATAGTTGACACAGGAGTGACATATCATTATGTTATTAAGAAAAAGTTGTTTATAACTTACAAAGCAAAAGACTTTGGTTGCACCAAGATGAAAAATAAGAGTGTGTCATAAATTGTTAGGATTAGTGATATTATTGTACAAATTAGTATAGGCTTCATGTTGACTTTAAGAGATGTCGGACATATTTTAGATATGAGAATAAACTTGTCTGCTATTAATGTCCTTGATAAAGAGGGATATGAGAGTCGATAAAAGAATAGATAGTAAAAGCTTCTTAAAGGATCTATGATAGTTATAAAGAGAAAATTATGCTGCATAATGTATAAGACATTAATGCAATTGAACGACAACTAGGTAAATACTGTTAAGGATGATGTTTCAGTAAACTTGTGACACAAAAGGTTGGCACACATGAGTGAGAAAGGGTTACAGGTTTTAGCAGGGCAATCTTTCCTTTCTTTGAACAAAGGTATATCTTTCAATTTATGTGATCATTGTTTATTTGGTAAGCATCGTAGAGTTTCTTTTTATAAGAATTCTAAAAAAAAAAAGATTGAAATTGATTTATTCTGATGTATGTGGTCCCATTAAGGTTGAGTCATTAGGTGGTAGCAGGTATTTTGTTACCTTTATTTATGATACTTCACGTAAGACTTGGGTGTATATGTTGAAATACAAAAGTTAGGTATTGTAATATTTTTAAAAATTTTATGCCATAGTGAAAAGGATGATAGGGCTGCCCTTGAAGTATATTCAGACTAATAATGGTAAAAAATACATGTTCAAAAACTTTAAAGAGTACTGTTCAAAGCATGAGACCAGACATGAGATGACAAAACCTAGAATATAGTAAAATAATGGTGTAGCTAAAATGATGAACCACACATTATGAAAAAAGTCAGATGTATGTTAAGGATGATAAAATTACCAAAATCATTTTGGAGTAAAATAGTCAACACAGCTTGTTATTTGCTTAACAGATCACCATCATTTTTTTTGGGCTTTGACATTCTAAAAAGAATGTGGACAGAAAAAGATGCTTCATACATTCATTTGAAAGTTTTTGAGTGTAAAGCATTCATACATATACCGAAAAAATAGAGGTCAAAACTTAATAGTAAAGTCACACAATGTGTGTTTGCAGGATATAATGATGAATAATTTGGCTACAGGGTATAGGATCCAGTGAAAAAAAAGATAGTCAGAAGCAGAGATGTGATTTTTCATAAAAAAAAATCATAGCAGACTTCGAAAAAAATAAAAAGACTACTCAGGTTACTGTTAAATGTGATATTTCAACACCGATAGAAATTCTACAAGAAAGAGCCACATATGATAGAAATGAGCAAGAAACAGAACTTAGAGATATGAATAAGCCAGTTACAGTTAGTGATGAGTCAGATACAATCAATTTTAAATAAGGGTAGCAATCCTCTTTACCTGAGAGTGTTGAGCAGAAGGAGCTACCTTCGATATCAGGTGGTGTAGAGTTTTAGCCTATAAGATCTACTAAAGAGCATAAGCCATCTACCAGGTATTCAAGTTTAAATTTTATTTTAGTTACCAGTAAGGGAAAGTCAAAAAATTTTTAAAATGTGCAGGCTACTTTGAATAGAGAGCACTAGTTAAAAGCAATGAAAGAAGAGATATTGTCATTACAGAAAAATAGTATTTATGATCTTGTTAAACTTTCAAAAGGAAAGAGGTTGTTAAAAAATAAATGGGTGTTCAAGTTAAAAAAAGATGGTGATAAACTAGTGAAGTACAAAGCTCGATTGGTGGTTAAAGGTTTTTCTCTGAAATCAGGTATCGATTTTGATGAGATTTTTACTCCAGTTATGAAGATAAGTTTCATTCAAGTGGTATTAGGATTAGCAGCTAGTTTGAATCTTGAGCTTGAGCAACTTGATGTTAAAACCATATTCTTGCATGGTGACTTGCAAGAGAATATTTATATGAATCAGCCTAAGGGTTTTGAAGTGAAAGAAAAAAAGCACTTGTTTGCAAATTGAATAAAAACTTGTATGACCTAAAATAAGCTCCGCGACAGTGGTACAAAAAGTTTGATTTTTTTATAATGAGTCACAGCTATAAAAGAATGGCAATGGATCTTTGTTTGCATGTCAAAATTTTTTGATGGTAACTTCATTATTCTCTTATTATATGTTAATGATATATTGATTGTAGGATAAAATGTGGTATGGTTCGTAGGTTGAAAAAATAATTATCTAAATCCTTTGATATGAAATATTTAGGTCTAGCAAAGCAGATTCTCGGTATAGACATTATTCAGGATAAGAGAGCTGAAAAGCTATGGTTATCACAAGTATGTTGAACAAGTGCTTAGTAGATTTAACATGCAATATGCTAAATCAGTTAACAGTCCACTTGCTAACCATTTTCATTTGAGTAAAAAATCTTGTTCGGTGTCTAAAAAAAAGCAACTAGCTATGTCTAATATTCTTTATTCTTTTGTATTCAATTTTTTAATGTATCTTTTGATTTGTACACAGCCTGACATTACTCATATAGTTGGTGTAATAAGTAAATTTTTTTTAATCTAAAAAAAGTTCACTGAGAAGCAGTGAAATAGATTTTCAGATATTTGAAGGGCATCTAAAAAATGAGCTTGAGTTATAAAGTTTTACAACCAGTTTAAAAAGGGTTTATTGATGTTGACATGACAGGTGATCTTGATGATAGAAAATATACTTTAGGATATTTGTTCACTTTTGCAGGAGGAGTTG